AAGGAATTGAGCCAAAGCTAAACATCCTTGAAATTGTTAAACCTGCGGACACCGTTGAAGTAGTTATTGATCCAGATGCCCACCATGCTGAATCAGAAGCACATCTTGTTGAGGAAGCTCAAGTCATAACTCTTGATGGCACAAAACACATCACAACCATTTCAGATGAAACCTCAGAACAAGTGACAAGATGGGCTGCTGCACTGGAAGGTTATAGGAAAGAACAAGAACGCCTTGGGATACCCTATGGTAATAAAATACGTAATTATATGTTAGGTAGAATAATACGAATTAAGCTTGACATAGAAGACACTAGGGTAAGTTATATTCTATTTTGAATATAGAATTTTTAGGAAGAATGTTAATTTTCTGTATCTGCTCCCCTCCTCCTACCTGGTCTCTCCAGCTGTAACACACATCTAAGCCCATATGATGGACAAACACTCTCCTGGTTGCTGGAAATACAAAGAAATATTAAAAAAAAAAATCTGCTCTTAGGGTGTTCACTATATAATTGAAGAGAGTGAAGATAATTGCCATAAAAAAAAAAGATAATTGCCATAAAAGGTAACATGTGTTTAAGCTGTTAATAACTCATATAGAAGCAGCACTCTATTGGAATCTCAAAGGGATCATAGTGGCCTGGGGGGAAATTGGGGAAGAGTTTATTACAAACAAGAAACTGTTGGGCAGAGAAGGATATTCCCCCAGTTAGGAATTGGTATATGCAAAGCTTAGATGGAGGGGTACGTATAAATAGAAGATTTAGTGGATGAGGAGTTACTTTGTAGCATTATAGAACTGTTTTTGATTGCTGAAAGTAAGAATTGAGAAAATGAATGTGGTAGTGGTATATGGCATAAGTTGGAACAGGTAGAGACTGAGTGAAGGGAAAATAGGAGCATTTATTGTAGTCTTGTAGTTGTGACTAGATAATATCTAGATTAGCCTAGACCAGGTGATTTCTTTAGGAGTAAAAAGGAAGAAATGGATGAAAACGGTAATAGGACTGAGCAGATTGACAGATTGTATAAGGGCAGAGAGGGAAGATTCAAGTATTGATCTAACTTCTCAAGCTTGATCTTGGTGACTAAGGCAATAATAATCTTGATAAAAATTGGTTGCATCTTCATTACATGTTTAGTGAACACTACCATATGCCAGGCACTGTATTAAATGCTGGGCTTACGGTGGTGCACAAGGCAGAGGATGCCTTTGAAAGCCTTGTTGGGGTAGTAGGGAAGTCTGGTGGGGGAAAGGGTTTTCGAGGAGAAAGTTTTTCAGGGGAAAGTGTTAATAGCACTTGATTTTGAAGTGTGTGTTCAATTAGAGGTAGCCAGAAAGTGATTTCAGGTACACAGGTTTGAGCTGGAGATAAAGATGTTGTATGGGACTCATTCACACTGATTTTGTATTTGAAGCTATAAAAGTCTTATCTAGTCTCTGATGGAGAGCGAGAAATGGAAGAGAACAGTGTTCCTAGGCCCTGTAAACATTCAGGATTTGAAAAAAGGAAAGGAGACAAGAAATAGCTGAGGAGATTTCTTATTTTCCTCCTTTTATAAGGAAAATAAGAACTGTATATAGTGTCACTGAAATTGAGGGGAGAGTTTGGATGGTCAAGACACTGCTGAGAAAGTCAAAGTAATGCTGACTGAGTAGTATCTGTTAAATTTGGTGATAAGAAGGTCTTTGGTAAATTTAGACAAAAGTAACTAGAGTGGTGAGACAAAGCAAAATGGTAAGATATAGACATTTTACAAATGGAGAAAATTGAATATAAACTTCTGGGGGGAGATGAGGAAGAGTGCTGGGGTAACATAAATCATATTGATGGTTCGGGAGTTGGTTGTGACCTGAGTGTGTTTGTAGATGAAATGGTCTTCTTTGTAGAGTTGTTAATTAAAGCCTAACAATAGGTAAAAGAACCCAGTTGGAAGGATGAGATATAGCCATTCCTCAAAGATACAAGAGGAAAAAAAAGACAGGATGGTTGAAAGGATTAAGTTATTTATTTTTGACATGTGGAAGCTGGTGTGGATGGTGTACTTG